CTTCTGCCCTGGCTATCCACATTTCCTATATCCTCCTATCATGCCTTCCCTGTCACAATTTTTTTCCGTGCTTATTTTAATGTAGTGAGGTGTGCTTCTTCGAGCAGATTTCATGAAAACCCTTCACACTCCACCCTTTCGTTATCACCCCCTTCACCCTTGTTGCGTATTCCTTCCCTGGGTCCTATCAGAGTCTCCCTCTTGCCCCTTAGAAGCTGTCTGCTATCTCCATGGTACAATTATTTCACTCTACCCCTGCCTCCCCCCATTTGTGCTAGTCGAGGCCTAATTAGTCCATCCCCTTCACCTGGGTGATTGATTAGAGGCTAAAGCCTCAGAGTAAGTTTCATGGTCATGCCTTTGCTACATGGACCACGTCTTTTATAAAACCTACTGTAAGCCAGCTAGCTCCAATCGCCGCCTCGTCTATCCTGTATCTATCCTTATACCAAGTCTATGACTTATCCTACCTTAGTCGCTTGCGTGCCAACCCACAAATGTTGTGGTACTGTTGGCTTTGATTAGGTTCAATGTTGAACCACAACGTTTGTGGGTTAGCACACAAATTTTTATTTGTTAGAGACATCGACTACATCACTTATTTTTCCTTAAGTGGGTTTTCAAGGCTACCAGAAGAGCATATATATGAGAAATTCACATATGCTCTGTGATATAAAGGCACTCTTGACAGTGTGGCGTAAAGATTAAAATGTCGAAATTATATGCTGGATAGTTCGAGTACCACCTAGGGTGCTGATGAAACTTAGGCGGGGAAGAAACTACAGTCCATTATGGATAAGAACACCTTTTCTAAAGCAAGGTTATGCGAAATTCAATAAAAACCTAAGGCCTATCCATATAACTGAGAAAATTCAAATATCAGTCCTTCACCTTAAATGCAATAGGGTGAATACATCTCATATATATAATTTATCAGTAGGCTCGAAAACCTACATATAAAACAGAAAAGAAGTAAAATATAACTTTATTAAAGTTTTATCGTTCATATTATTAACGGATACATTATTGTTATTGAAGCCTTCTCATCCCCTGACGAACTATACATGTATTTTCACGAGCAAAAACTAAGTTTATGAATAGCGATGAATAGCTAGATCAATATTTTTGCCTGAATTTGAACTAAAAGAGTTTTATCGCCAAATTGCGGGGAGGTGAGATCTGTAGCAATTAGCTAGCTGAAATTTTAAATAAACATCGGCAATAACTAAGCGGCATATCAAAAAACTAATTAATGTGATAAAATAACTCTCAAGCAGTGACGATATTTTGCCTAAAGTTAAGCAGCAAGTACTTACCAATGGTGGGATCAGACATAATAACCATGATATAAGTATTCGAAGTAAATATGTCTACAAAGGCAGCAAAATACTGATTCCTCAGTTCGATTGCAGTAAAATTCGCTCCGATTTTGCTACAAGAAAGCTTGAACTGTTTGATAATGTTACTGATTTTATCACATCTAAAAAAGATATATAAACTTGTCAGTCTTTATGGATAAGTTTTTGCAACAAATTTGGCTATCGCTAAAAAACATAGCGACAAAATTAGCTCTGTGTCGCACAAAAAGGGTAAAGAATTTCTATGGATGACATAATTATATGCATCGATAGAAGTAATTCATCTAAAATTTTTATCCATCATTGAAGAGTAATAGGCAGTAAGTGAATGAAATTTAAGAAAAATAAATTCTCGTCTTATTTAGGAAATTTAAATAGAGAAAGACATATATAACGAACTAAAATGGCGCAACAAGAGCCACTATTGCAGATCACAGGTTATAGCCAAAAACTATCAATAAAAGAGAAAAATACTCTATCGAAGGTGCGAATACAAAGATGTGGCCTTTACTAAGATCGCAGTCTCATTCCGTTAAATAGAATTGGTTTGACCTCGTATTCTTAATTTGGTTGTATTGTTGGAAAGAAGTTGCATCTTGTCCGGAATCCTGCCATAGTATCCGCGATAATTTCCAACATCGGATCGTGGGTCTGGTACATTCTCAGAACAAAAAATAGAGGCAAGGGGTGATGCCACAACGGTTGAACAGAAAATTAGTCAAGGGGATTGCCTTCACTTGCCATTTTGATACGTTTTCGCTCTGTACTTACGATGGCGCCTCTCACTGACAATGACGGCGAAACGTTTGGGAATGGACCCAGCCAATGGTCCGGTCGTATAAATCATAAATACTATGGCAGAGGACACAGGACTAGTTACAGTCCACCAGGTCCCCCTGAAGCTCTGATATAGTTGCGAAAACAGGGTTGAACCAACACTATAAAGCTAAATGAGATTGCGATCAAACATAGGGCCACGCCATCTTGGTATTCATATCTACGATCTTATTTTAGCCTAGCCCAAGTATATTATTTTGAGCGGATTTAGTGAAGTCTATTAATACTCCCCACTGGTTCCCATCTTCCTTTCTCGAATTTTGTAGAAATGTCAATCCAATTTAGCCCTTCTAGTCTCCAATCTACTTCATACAGGTCCCAGCATAGCCTCGATTTTGCCCCGTAATACTCGTCTATGTTTCTGGTTCAGAGAGTTCACTCCACTACTGACCTCATATACGTGCTATTCCAGGTATTATTTCACAGACTCAGCCCTAGACCTTTGATAGTGCGTATACTCCCGCCTCACTGAGCAATCCCCAAAGTATGGATTCTCAAGGTGTATTAGAAACTTGAGAATATAGATCATCTTATCACCGTTCAGTATGTGCACCGGGTAGTTCTCATTGTCAAATCTGTACATCACAAACCACCTTTATTGCAAGCCAACTATCTCTGGCCTCTGCCATATCTATCGTGGTTCTATCCGTAATATCAGGCCTATAACTTCTCCATGTCCTAGTCTCTTGTGCTTGAACCTCCAAATGTTATAGTTGTTTGAATTGCTTTTAGTAGGCATTTCTAGTTGATTTACGATTGTCTCTATGGCGTTATTGCGATTTACTTCCCTCACATTTAAAATATTTCCTCCATCTAGTCGTTTTCTTTATGCTGATCTTGCTATTCCTTGATCTCCTGCGAGTTTGCCTAGACAATATGCAAAGTTTACGCCAATCATGTCTTCTTCTAGACTATTGTTTATTAGATTTCTTTCAGTCAGGATATCGAGAGCCTCTCTAACCTTGCGTTTCATTGTATTCTCACTATATGCGACCAGCCTTTCTATCTACTTTTAGTCGATTTCGTGTCTCATCTGGTTAATCTGTTCCAGTATTTCATAACTTTCCGTATTCATGTTACTGCAATCTTTGATGTTCCTGATTTTTTCTCCTGTTTAACCAATATACTTCTGCCCACAGCTAGTGAATTTTATGTGATAAAGAGAAATAAAGATCCACTACGAATAAAGGGGCACCAAAGACTTAGCTGAAATATCGATACAGAAAGATTCGAAATAGTGGAACCCATTGCAGAGACGAGAAGGGCAAAGGCCACTGAAGATGCGGGAAAAACATCTATGAATGTAGCAAGTCTACGTTCCAACTCTGGAAAGTATAATGGATACAATGGAAGAGGACTTCGGACAATGTGCGTTTATCTAGGTCTCTGACAATACGGCCATATTGTGAAAATGAAATCAATCCGCTTCTTAAAATACTATATGCCCATCGACTTCCAACCTTATACGTAAATTTAAAAAAATTATACTAGAAACAAATGTATCGAAAAGGAAGATTGAAGATGTGATAGCCTATAGGCCGAAAAGCAGTAAAATTCATTTTAAATGAAACCTATATAAACCCCTCGAACGGTACTTCATCCAACGTATTAATAGAAGTTAATCATCAAATAAGAACTCGATATTTTCTCTAAGACAACGATCCGAGGAAGCCTTCAATTTTTTTCTCTAAATACAATTTCCCACCATGCTTCAATCTTGCGAAAATGTGGTTTTGATTCTATGTTAGCACAAAAGGACTATGGTCTAGGCCAAACAAATAATTTAACATGGTCATTATTCAACTAATACCCTAATATCATTAACCGATGGAAACACTATCCTTCGTGAATGGATATTTAACTTTCCAACTAAAACAAAATCAAACTTATGCTATTCTTTGATATATAAGTATTTAAGATCTAATTAGAGAGATTGTTAATTAACACATGGTGTGACGTGTATAGAAGGACGGGGCGGCAAATAGCTCATCAATGAGTGTCTCGTCAAGTCAGGCAAGCAATGAAAAATAAGAAAGAGGTTAAAAATCACCAACCAACGCACATGCCTTATTCAATCTTATGACTAAGGCTGTGGAGATTATCTTGATGAAGCTAGCCTTCTTTTAAAAATAGGCAAGCTGATTGGTCTTTAGTTCGGATATGAATTTTATTAATATCATCAATTAATTTCATTTACCCATCATATTAATTGGTCATTAATGTCTAAGGACTACGGATGTACACAGATTATGTAATAAATAGCGATGTCTTACCTGTGTTCATCTGGATATGATCTTCGTGAGCTGCAAGTGATTTCTAAAAATGTTGCCCGCTCAAATAGAATAACCTCATCAGCTTCAAGCAGTTCACAGAGCTGTCGCAGACTTGCCTCTAAGGCCTCAATATTCGCAATAAGTTGATACACTA